CCCCCCCCCCCATTTCAGTCATCAGACTGACCGTTATTCATTATTCATCCAAAAGGAGAAGAAACGACAATCGAAGTTGAGGCAATTGAATATTGCTCTGGGGAATTGGACACTATCCCTTGCCTCTGTCACAAAGTCCATTATGTGACACTTGGCAAGTCAGACTGAAGAAGTGGTTAACGTGCATCATTTCTGGAAGTCTGGCAATAGGCGCAAGATGTTTTGCGGAAGTACTCAGTAATTACTAAGTAATTACTCGGATGTAATTACTTTACTGAAAGAGCGGTCAGGCACTGGAACAGCCTGCCATGGGAGGTGGTGGAGTCATTAACGTTAAGAAATGTCATAATGTTAAGAAAGGTGTAGATGTGGCACTTCAGGGCATGTTTTAGTGGCCGAGATTGTGGGGGTCTTTTTTGTGGTTGGAGGTCCTTTCCAACCATGATGATTCTGTGATTCCGTAATTCAGCTCAGAGGGAGCTGCCCTTCCAAAAAGGAATGTGATGTGGCACTGTAATGTCTACTCTGCAGAATGAGATCCTGGCACTTCAGGGCATGTTTTAGTGGCCGAGATTGTGGGGGTCTTTTTTGTGGTTGGAGGTCCTTTCCAACCATGATGATTCTGTGATTCCGTAATTCAGCTCAGAGGGAGCTGCCCTTCCAAAAAGGAATGTGATGTGGCACTGTAATGTCTACTCTGCAGAATGAGATCCTCCATATCTCATACTGATGCATTGTTTCTTAAATGCTTTGACCTAAAGTTATTCTCTGCCGTTACAATGGATAAAATGATAGCCCTTTTACTCAGCCACTTACACTTATTCTATAAATATTTGTAAAGCCCTTAGAAACTGTAGTGATGCATGCAGTAGACAGGTTTGAGGAAATTAATAATCCTGTCTTTGTGGGACGCTTGAGCAATATATTTGAATCCAGATACTGAAGTAAAAGTTGGAAACAAAATGCTTCTAAAGTGAGCAGCAAAGGCCCTAAACATTCAATGAGCTGGAAAAAGCTGGTATGGGATATGTCACTGAAGTCTATTTCACAGTTCCTTGTCAGGTGGATGTCAGATGAAGGTTGCATCTATATCGTGGTATTTCCTGACTTGGAAGAGTTTAATCTTGCAACAATACTAACAACTATTTTAATAGAGGGAATGTATTTTTCTTGGTCATTAAATACAATTTACCAAGTTATTTAAAAACAAGGTATACTGAAAATGAGTTTTATCACATGGGTGATACTGGCAAATGCAGATAGAGAATGCTCATTCCACTGCATGGATCTCTCATACCTGAGTGACCTGAGAATAAGTGACAGCAGTGGGGGGGGTTATTATCCCATATGTTTCTGGCACTGGATAGGAAGGAATTCTTGCTTCACAGGTCTTCCCTGAAAAGGGGAATAAGAAGACTTAGCAATACTGCATGTGTTCTATTCCAGCTCAGGATAGAAGTGTACTCTGGGGAGAGCAGGCTTTTCTCCTCCTCTTCCTCCTCCTTTTCTTTTGCCTGTCCCTTTTAATCTGCTGTTTATTCTTCTCTTAGTCTGCCAGTGTTTCCTTGTCTCAGATCCAGTTATCATTCCTTAAGCTTTGATCTTGGTCTCAGATGAATTCTCATAAACAATCTGCTCCCTTTCTGTTTTCTTTCGTAATGATTTACAATCTTCTCACCTGCACTGTTCCTTTTTCTGTTACAGTTCAGGTTCCCTTGGCTGCTCCCCCAATTTTGTCTTTCTGAGCTTTCCAGATGCAGGTTTCCCACTGCTGTTCCTCATCATAAATGACTTCTTGTTTCAGCCTGCATCCCTAGGTTTCTTATTAAATCGGAATCTTTGACTCCTGTCAATTGTTACCTTTGCTCTTAAACTTTGTTAAATTATTATTTTAAGTTACTAAACTTAGGTAGCAGCCTAAGGAGGCTTGACTTGTCTGGAGAATCATTGATGCCCTCTGGCAATATGATTTGCATTGGGAGGCTCAGTGCTTAGTTGTGTTGGAGTCTATGACAGTTGCAATGGATAACCTCTAGGAAATTCTGATTGAGCAAGTGAAAAAAAAAAAAAAAGAATTTAAAATATTTCCTTTATCATTTTTTTTCCCAAGAAAAGGTTGAGCCTTTCCTAACTTTTTTTTTTTTTAAATCCTATATGGATCTGAGAAATTTTAATCCAAATGATTATTCGTTGGCAAAATGATAGGATGCTAGGTAAATGTTGGGCTGCCTGACTGAGAAAATAGAACCACCTCTCTTTCCTAATCTACACCCTTTTGTTTTAAATATATGCTGGATCAATACCTCCAGGTAAATTACATTTTCATACTGTCAGGCTTTAACTCTATTCCTTTATGCCACCATAGAGTTACTCATACTCTCATACTTTTGAAGTTTGCAACCGGATTATTAATTTTTTCCCTAGAGCATTGTGCTGCTTGTGATTTTTGGCTTTTTAGAAAGAAAACTAATGTATAGCTTTTCTTAGGCTGGTTTATTTCATTTGAACTTTCAAAGAAGAATGCATAGTCAATGTAATACTTCTGGTTTAAGAAAAAATTGTTACTTGATGAAAATGTAGTACCATCGTAGCTCTGTACCCCTGTGTTTTTAGCACAGAATATAAACCTAATGCACATTAACTGTGACATTGTTTCCAGCAGACTGCAGACCGATTTCAGACAGCAGGAAAAAATGTCTAGCACCTAGAATAAAAAATTAGATTGTTCTGTGAATTAAAAGCTGTTTTGTTGCTTCCAATATGGATACATGCTGAGAGTGGGTTAGTGAACCATTCTTCTCAATATACAATTACACATTAAAAGTAAATTAAAGAAGACTCCTAACATACAAGTATTGTCCTGACATTAAAAGAAGACAAAACATCTGCTGGATGCTTAAGATAATGATTCTTTAAACTTTTGTTTCTCAGGTTCTTCCTTCAAATCAAGCTGTAGCAAAGGAGAAAAAACATTAGAATTCATCCCAATAAATCTTCATCTGCAAAGAATGCACGTGCATAGTCCTCGATTGAAAGGTAAAGTCTATTCTGCAGAGACCCTAAGTATGACAAGGTATGATTTGAAATGCAATTAAACTTGCAACTGAGAGGTATGGTTTCCATTTTAGCCCTTTTTAAGATGTAGATATCTTAATTTATATACCCAGTTTCAAGGATGAACTTTAGGTGGACATGCTTTCAGATGAAACCTCAAAACCACAATAGAACTCAAGGTTATGCTGTTTAGAGACTTGAATCTTGGTCGTTTTGGATTTTTCACTTAATGATAGGATACTGGCAACAGTCTTGTTAAAGACTAGGTGGAACATGTAGATGCCACAGATAAAGAGTATGGCAAGTAATAGCATTAAATGGACTTATTAGTTTTTTTAGTAAATTGATGTGCAATTTGGAATAATGCCGAGGAGAAAAGAGTATCACAAGAATTACAGCAACTTTTGAAGAAAGTTCTGAGATTCATGTCATGTCATGTTTTGCCAGTTGGTGAAGTTTGTACAGTATTAGCTTGTTTGTAAGATTCGCGCAGTATGTCTTGATATAGAAGGTTTCTTGTATGACTAGATTGCTGCTTGGTTTTTTGGTTGGTTTGGTGGTTGTTTTTTCATAAAATCAAAAGCAAGCTTCCAACTTCATTATTTAAAAATCCGTATTGCTCTACAGGTTTAAAGTGTTTCATTTTTAACTTCATTTAATGGACTCTAGAAACATTCTGTGTAGTTATTTCCTGCCTTTGTTTTACCTACATAGCTGGAATCTGCCTGTCTTCCTGAAGGGCTTGGTTTCATTCTCTCAGGCCTGTACATCTGCTTCTAAACCCCAAGTTTTCAGTTTTAGATGTTGTTTGGAATATTTCTAGAGCAAGTGAGTGTATTCTGTCCATGGAGGACCACACTTAAGAAAATAATGAGATCGAAGAAGTGAGCAGCTTGCCTGCCCTCCACATTTCTCTACCCATTCTGAAACCTGCACCCAAATATTCTGCTGTTGAGGTTGATCAGAATTCCTGAGTCTGTGCTGAAACTTAGGAATCAGGTCCAAATTTAAAGCTATGCAAGAGATTTTTCTTCTTCATCTTCTGAAGCCGCAACTTCTGGATACTAACTGCAGATCTTGGAAAACTAAGAAATGGTTAACTAAATTTGTTTTAACTTGTATTGTTAAAATAAATTCCAGGGATGTTGTGCTCGTTTTGTTTCTATGACGCTTCAAACAAGTAAATGTAGAATATATATTCACCGAGATGCATTGGTAACCTATGCATGGTTAAAAATATTCTGTTAGTGGAGAACTAATACTGTTGTGATTCATATTGATACACTGCAAAATCTTCAGGAACATTTTGTGTCCTTCTAGGGCATCGGCTTCATTTTTCATTGTGATCCATAATGTCAGCGCAGTGTAAAAGCTGGTCTTACCTGCCATGTTTCTAAGGTGGGAGGTTTTTTTCCCCACTGTGCCACCAGAGATAGAGCACAATACGTTTCCTCCCAGAAATTGCTGGGATTAATTCACCAGCCCAGCTGATGTGAGTTGCACCCATTAAGGACAGTGTTACTTCTAAACTTAATAGATCCTATTTCTTAGGAAGCTTTAATGAGCCCAGCGCTGCCTGTGCTTAAATCAGCCTATTCAGTGCTACCCTGTACCACATAAGCATTTGCTTAGTGTTAAGTGAAAATGTCTCACTGATCGTGCTGAAAATACTGCGAACTTTAATAACTTCTGGAGAAGGGGGTAATTTTCTGTAACGTCATCTGTGATTCTGTTTAATACAGAATTCTGTTACTGCTACTTCCATATAATTTTAGCAGCATCCTTTACTGGTAAAAGATTATATTGATACATATATATGAGCAAATTGTAATACACTGAATAATTTTTTGATAAATTGAGATCTATTAAATTTGCTGTCACTGTAGAAACACAGAAATTACACTCTGTGAGGTTTTTGCCTTATAAATACACTCTGGATCTAAGCAGGTTGTAAAATAGTATGTACAAACAATAGTTACATGGGCGTTATACTGTGTACTGCTCATGTTTAATCCACTTCCAAGTTGGAACATGGGAACTTCTGATTATTAGATACTGTATTGGTTCAATATTTCGTTTTTTCTTTTACCAAACAACGTTGCCTCCAAATATTTTAACAAGATGGGGATTTATAGTGACAGAACGACAGCACAAATTTTCTTTTAGCTAATTTTTGAAGTTAATTAACGCAATAGCATTTTTAGATTAGTAATGACTACGGGTGGCCAGAACCTTAATTTTATGCCTTTTCAAGAAAACCTTTCTGGGAACAGGGCATTGTGTGGTTTTTTTCCCCAATAAAAAAGTGGAATGAAATATGCCATTTACCTGATCATCCACAACTTTTACACTATTTGAGTTTTGTTTTGTTTATAATGAATTTTCTCCTTTCTCCTCCAAAACCACTTACCTTGTGGCATATGGTTAATCCATAATTCAAAAGGCTACAGAAAGCGATAAACACTAGAATTATCTTCTAAATTTAGAACTTTGTTTAAATTATAAAATCCCTTTTTCCTTAGCTAATGTTCACTCCACTGATGTGAAAATTAGATAACGGTGTTCTTGTTACACTCAAGTTTAGAGGTTGCCAAGCACTAATAAGAAATAGAACTTGCGTTAAAATCAGGGAATTTCTGCTTACACATATTTTTGGAAGACTGACACCTTGATTATGGGGAACTCTTTATTTCTCTATATACAAAATGGGTTCCTTAATATGTTTAGGATATTAAGGTAGCACTATAGTATAAATAGAACAAAAAGTAATTGGAGGTTGTTATTATATTCGCCTTTGGTAGGATAAATTATTTCTGTATGTATTACCTACTGTTCCATCTGCTTAGCTCACTAAAATAAGTTTCATTTTATGAGCATTCAAGAACTGTGTCTTGTATTAGATGTATACACTTTGAACAGTTTGTAGCAATTGCTAATCATTGTGGAGTAAACAGCACTTTTACTTAAGTTGGTCTTTCTCACCTCCTTCATTGCTTGGTGTGTGTCAAAGGGCACCTGGAATATAAGCAGTCATTAATGCTTACACTGTTAGATGTCTTAATTTTGGGAATGCAAGATAGGTTTTAACCCCATCTATCACGAGTATGGACATGGATATGTGCTTTTTTTTGTTCAACATGTTCAATAACAGGTTTACTTTTACTGAACTTTGATTTGGGTTTTTTCTTGGGTACTGACATGGAATAGAAAATACCTGCGTGTTTAAACTTCCAGTAGGAACAGCTTTGAGGAAAATGCTCTTTCTTTATGGGATAACATAATGGGATAACCCCTATTTCAAATAGGGATAATTATCTATATGATAAACACCACATTTGGATCTGTTCATCATACTGCAGAAGTTAAATATTGTCATAGCTTTGCTTTTGTCCCTATTTATACATCAATTGTGCTTGTTTTAAAAAATTTGATGGACTGAAGAGAATTTTCATTTTGCTTCTGGATAATGTGAGGCCCTGGCTGCCTCCTGTGAAGGGAAGCAGCTTGCTTCAAGTTCAAGGTTGAGCTATACTTCACACAAACATCCCCCAACTCTTTAAATGGATCTGATAAAGTTTGGTTTATGGGACTTGTACCGTGCTGCTGTGGTTGTCACCATGTTGCAAAAGCAGAAAGAGTGATGAGCAGGTACTTCATATTTCTGCACAGTGAAGGAATTGTTATTTTTTTGATGTGTTTGGTGTTAGTGTTTCACTTTTATGAGTATAAGGTGAGTGTATTTTGAGTCAGTGTAGCTAGTATGAAATGATGATTGATTTAAACCTCAACTTCCTTGCAGTCTAATCTTCTGCATTTTCTTTCTTCAAACTCTGAAATAATTATTTGAGGAAGGGTTGAGGGGGTTTTTTAAACATCAATTAACTAATAATTTTAGGGGGAGCATGCTGATAGTATGGTATTGCTCCTGTGACTCTCTGCTGCATTTTGAGTTTTGTCTTCACTGTAGAGAGTTGTCAGCAGTAGCCTGTTCTTGAAATGGATGATGGGTCTGAGTTACTGGACCATTCCTGTGCCAAGTGCACTCATGCTGACACTGCATGTCCTTCACACGGAGCTGCATTGATGTGCAAATGGAACCCATCACGAGGCATTCCTTCTGAATCTTGCAGCACTTTCCAGTGTGCTGGGCCCTGGACAGTGGGAGTGAGACTGCCCCATGCCCATCACCAGGGTCACAGGCATTTTCTTTTTCTTCTTTGCCATCCTCAGTCTCCCATGTTTGCTTGCATGGGGCTCTGGGTGTGTTTGTGTCTCAAACATCTGCTCCTTGACCATGCTGAGAAGAGGACACAGGCTGAATGAAAACTTCCTTCTGGGTAAATCCCCCCCCAGAGTACTTATGAGCAGGGTCACTATCTATTTTTAAAACAGAGTTGGAAAAAGCACCAGGGTTTAATCTTTTAAATGTTCTCCTGTAGTTTCATGAGTTATCTGTAAACATATTCAGAAGCCATTGTTCAGTAAACCCAATAGGTTGTTTTAAGCAATAGAACTACTTATTGTCAAGTACTGATGGAGCTCTAATAGCTGAAGAATACATATTATGGATAAATCTCTATGAAGACCTGAAAGAATGGGCTATTTAAGAATCCTGAAGCTCACCTGAGGCTAATGAAATTATGTCACTTCTCCTTTTAAGTGGAAATTGAAGAGTCACCAATTCATTAGAGTTCAAATCAATTTGAGTGAGTATGCTTTGAGATTCAGCTCTGAAAGTAAAACATAGTTCATTAAATGTGAATCATTTGTACAGTGTTCTTGCTTCTAGGGATATTTATCATCAAAATGCAAGAAAAGTTCTATTTTAGGAGAGGATTAGATTTTAATTTACATGGAAAGCTTCCTTGATGAATAAAATAGTTCACAAAAACCAATCCTCTAATGTTTCCTGAAGAAATACATTTCAAGAATGAGGCATTTTGACCTGCATTTTTATACCTCCAGTGAGCTTGGGCACAAAACAGGGACCAATAGTGCAAACATGAATTCTGCAAATGTAAATTTAAACTTTGATGGAATAATTATTGTGATTTGGGATGTAATTAAATCTTCATCTCTGCACTGACAATCAATCACAGGCACAAAACGAGAAGCTGTTTTTAAAAAGATGTTCCATCTCCAGTTCTGTAAGTGTACATCCATAGAAAAAGTTCATCCCACGTGTCACAAGACACCAGGTACATGGAGAGTAACAACAGTTTGTCACCTCAGCCAGAATTTCAGTAGTGTGGTTTATTTCCCATTCTGGTAGCTTTTTGACTGAAAACAACTGGCTTGCTCTGTTTCAATAAGCGTATATAAAAATAAGTGTATGTCACAGAACAAGGCTTTTCAATTTAGTATTAAACAGGTAATTATATCAGAAAGTGGAACCTAAACAGTTCAAACCAGAAAAAGAAGTAGAGATTTTTTACTAGTCGGATTGATAGATTAATCATTGGAGCCACTTCTCTGGGAATGCAGTGAATTCATTGTCACTTGAAGTCTTTAAATCAAGATTAGATGTCCTTTTTTTTTTTTTTTTAATTAAAAAAAAAAAAAGCAGAGATGCCTTCACTCAACCAGAAAAGATAAGCTTGATGCAGGCATCATTAGCTGTAATTCTGTAGCCTGTATTATTCCAGCAGTCAGACTATTCCATCATAATGGTCTCTTTTGACTCTAAAATGCATGAATCTGTGCATCTCAACATGACTACAAGTTAAATAATGGAAGAGGTAATAAAGTGAAATACACAAAGGGCCAATTTACTTGGCAGCTTTGTAAACTGCAGAGCTAGAATATTGTTCTACGCTGTGGCATATAATTTAGATGTAGCAATAAATCAAATAAACCTTCCAAAGTGTGCAGGTGGCTGTATGGAAAGATTGACTAGCTCTTGGGCATCCTCGAGACACAGATTCTCAATTATTCCTTGGAAAATAATATTGACTTTGTGTCCTCATGTCTTGTAGAGTAGATATCATAGTGTTGCCATACCTTGGGCATAAGCACATGCAAATCTCCCTGCTTGTCTGTTTCTGTTCCAGATGCTCTGTATGATGTCATCACCGTGGGAGCTCCAGCAGCACATTTCCAAGGATTTAAGAATGGTGGTCTCCGAAAACTGCTCAGTAAATTTGAAGCAGAAAGACGAAAGTAAGTATTTTTGTAAGTAGCTAGAAAAATATCATTAAGGTTACGTGAGAATGTTATGAGCTCACTGAATAACAAAACAATTCACCCTGCTGAATGTATGGAAGACTGAAATCTAGTAGTACTGGACAAGGATTGATTAATGAAATATTTCCTTTATATTCCCTGCTTTGCTGGACTGCAAAATTGAAGCACAATTTACTTCTAATATCAAGACTTATTTTGAATGCAAACTCAAAATTGCAAAACTTTCTTCCTGTATTTCATGAAGCTTGAGGAATATCAGTGCTTGAAAACTTGCTGTGCAGAATGAGATATCTCTTCGGTTATTCTTGTGCTAGGTGGAAAGTAGTTATAGACAATTTTTCAATAAAGAAACAGTAGCTTCATTTCTGACAGCCCTGGGCATATGCTAGCAAAAAAACCTTTTTAGCACGCCTGTGAAGTAAATAAGAAAATATTCTTTTTCTCATTCTTCAGAAAGCCAAATGAGACCTTAACTAGGTTTTCAGTTTATTGCTGTACTCAAATGCTTAGTTTACCACTGAATATCTACAGAATTGTCAGTAGCCTGTTTTGCTAACTAAGAATTGGCCGTGTTTGTGTTTGTTGCTATGGCTGTTAAGAAGTTTTGAGCAGCCACAGCTGTCACTGGCAGCACTCACAGTTGTGGCTGCTCAACACTTGGACTAACTGTGCCACCCCCATGCCATCAGTGGCACAGCATTCCAAAGGGAATGCGGGAAGGGCTGTACGGATGCTAATCTAACTCATCCCAACTCTCTGTGGAAAATGAATTCCATTATATTCAATGCTCAAAAAAAAGTTTCTAGGGACAGTATCATAAAGAATAAAAGGAGAAATTATAAAAAACTACTATTGATTACAAATTGGCATCAGTGCTGAAACCAAAGAAAAACCAAGAGATATATTTGCTTTGAAAACTCTATTATTACTTTTTTCTGTTTGCATTGCATGACATTAAAAACCTATTAAATATTCTGAGATCTTTCATTTCCCATCATCTGTGGTGGCAAAACTTGCCAATGAAACACAAATATCATTGATCACGAGACCCATGAATGGATTTAGTGTTAACAGTAGGTTCCTATTCTGCTGTCAGTGGACTGTTAGAGGAAGCCTTACCCCCGTGATATAGAGGCCTACGAATTACATGCTTCCTGATGGAGAAAATATCTAAAGACATTTTTCTTGAAGTATCTGCTACTTAACTATCTGATTCATATAATTACAATAGTATTTAGTGGGGGGTTTATTATATTTCATAAGAAGAAGTTAAAGTCATAAGTGATATAAAGAACTTTGCAGTTCCAGAGTGTTCAGCTTTCACGAAATGAACTGTTTCTCACTTGCGTGGTCCTGCAGTTCATCCACATTGGCACAATGGGATTTCCCAAAAAGAAGAATAGCTGTGAGGCAAACTTGAAATTACCATCTGTGATTTCTGTTTGTTGGGGAAAAAAGGGAAAATGCCTTATAGGGAAGACACCTCCTCTTTCTTGGGTTCTTCCTGGGAGAACCCAAGTAGTTGTATGTCATTGCAGTATCTCATAGGAATCAATAGAGAATGCCATTGTTTCTTGGTTGCCCATAACAGGGGAGGGGACATGATGGGCTTAACTCCTTTCTTTGAGTCCTGTGCAATGTTACATGTCAACAGGCTAGGATGCAAAGGATACTCAGTGCAGCACAGCCTCTTCTTATTTTGATTCACCCTTTTTTCATTGTCTCAACCATTGTAGACCTCTTAGTTGATAGAGGTGTGTGTTCAGGAGCACTGGGTGAAGCTTTGTGCAGGTTTTATTGAGGCATTTCATACCTCTTTCAAAGTGTCTATGTATCACCTTATATTTGCCAAGCTTCTTAGACTTTTCTGCATCTCTCGGAAGCACCTGTCTTTTGGTGACTTTCACAGGCAGGATACTGGACTTTTACTCTGGCAGAGCAATTTTCTTTGTGTTTCTTTGTATACCCCGTAAGAGCAAAAGTCTGTCTTTAGGATGGTATATCTAGGATAACTATGTTACTGTCCTGTCAGACTCTTCCTAAAAAAATGATCCTGAGGCAGGCTAGCAAACTTAAGTTTGAGAGTTTGAGCACTGAAAACAGGGGACTGCAATTTTTAGTGAATCACTTACCAGACCTAACGAAACGGTCGCTTCATGTGTGAATTTCCACGAAACAGTAAGGAGGAAACCTCTGAAATTCATCTTTGCTTCTGTCTTTGAGGGCAACTCAAAGAGAACTCCAAATGTTGGGTTTGTTTTTTCTCAAGTAGAAAAACTTGTGTAAGTCAAAAGAGAGGAGAAAGCAAGCTCTGAATATGATCTCACTTATTTGAATATTCAAGAGTGGGTCTGCTTTAGATACATGAAAGGACCATTCTCATTCTTACCACGGAGAAATTTCTTTTGCTGTGGCAATGACAACTTTATTTTGCATGCACCTGTTTGTTTAACTGCACGAGGTGCTTTGAGGACACAGCGTTTCCAGGGGCAGCTTTTACAATTTAAATTTTCTGTTTTACAATGGGAGCAGCTTTTCTGAAGAGTTGGTTGAAGGAAGAAGTGACACCTTGAGATATCAGTCAGAATATAAAATGAACAGGAGAAAAAAAATTTGCAGATTTAGCAGCCGTCTCCTCGAGGCTAAACTGAGCTGAAGACCTAGAGGACGATGCGGGAAGAGATTATTTCTCAAGCTGATCCCAGTAGCTTTCAAGACATTATTAGTGCACATGACAGAATGCCTTTGACCTTCAGGCTGATTATTAGAACAGCTTATTGAAATATTCAGCGGTGTCAGCGTATCAGAAAATATTTCTTGCTCAAACCTATACTTGTGGAATTAACAGCCAAGAGGAACTGTTATAGCAAGGTTATGTCCTGCTTTGTGAGAGCGTAATTGCATTTGCCACTGCCAAACATAAACAAGAGTGAAACATATGTTTCATTAAAGTTTGTCAAACAGAAGAATGTGGAAAATACGCATCTGAAGATAGGTCTTGCATATTTTCTGTCACAGAGATAATACGTTTTTGTGCAGACAAAAGAAAGGAAGGTATCATATAATAATATTTATTTAAAATGCAGCATTTTTGCAATTCTTCTCTCATTTGTTACCACCTAGCAAGTAATATTAGAAGAAAAACAAACAAGCAAACAAATCCAAAACCAAAGAAGGTAAATTTCTAAAAACTTTGATCTCAAATAAGAGGGGGAAAAAAGTTTTTCTTTCAGGTGATAAGACTTAGTGGTATGTGATGTGAAGCCAGGTCCGTTGCTTTAGAACCCATTCACAATCTGTACTGTTCTTTACCTGCAAAAAAGAGACAAGTAAAAGGCTTTGCCACTATGAACATAAAGTATGTCTTTAAGTCTTTAAGGCATGGTTCCTGTATGTCTGTCCTTTACTAGCTAGTAGTGAACTTCGTAAGACCAGTAAGAACAATTGATGCTTTTTTTTTAAACCTTGTTTTAAACATGATAGCATTTAAATTAAAATTATTGAAGTGTGATGATTAAGGTATGCTAAATCATTGCAGAATATTAATTACCTATGATACCTATGATATACATTTATTTTAGATTGTTTTTCATGATACTGTGTTGGTTTACTCTTATTTTTTTCCTTCCTAATTTTTACCTAAATGAGTAAATAGGTCAGTTGTTTGGATTCAGTCTGGCATTAGCCTGCTGGTATAGAGTACTTCTTCCAGTAAATGGAAGGGCTTGTCTTCTCATCAGTCTAGATGGCACAGCAAATTAACATTTTTAGAGCACAGTTGTGCACGTACGTTTAAGGCAGACATTCTGCAACTTATACCCATATAATGCCTCACTGCTTGAAGTGTTCATAAATCACTTTCGAGGTACACCAAGGACTTTTTTTCCTTCCTTAAAATCTAATTTGATGATCTGTGCATTAGCCAAAACATGTAGACTTATGATTACAAGATTTTTAATGTCCCATCAAGAAAATGAGAGGTTTCCCATAAGTTGTATTAGGTGCTGTGATTCACTCTGGTTTAGTACATCATTTCTAGCAAGCCCTTTAGAAACAATCCTGCTTTAAATTGGCACAAGCTTAAGGCTGGAATAGTACTGAAAAGGATTTTCTGTTGAATTTTTTTTTTTTTTTAAGCCATAATAATTTAATTTGGGTTTGAACTGTGTAAGACGACCCTGTTTTGTTTGACAAGGCCTAGATTTTTGTGAAGGTGTGAGGTCTACACCTTCACTAACGTACTGGTTACCAGAGGTTTTGTTAATGCTGAGATCCTCAGGGTTCCTATGACCTGAGTTTCATAACCTTCAACCCATTTCCATTCTCAGAGGAACCTGAAATGATACTGTTTCACAGAAAATCCCAGATATGTTGAAATAATAATGATTTCTGTTTGATCTGATGGTAGCCTTTATACTCGAAGGGAAACCACAGCCTCTCATGCATAGCACTTTTCACTGAGATGTTATTCTTTGCTCATTTTCTCCTTTTTTGCATGTGTGTGTGTATGTATATATCTGTGTATGTGAGAGAGAAATATTAGACTATAGATTTTTTGCTGACCATAAAATCAATGCATTAAGGTTGTTTTGCTGAGAAACTGCCAAAGTTTGTGCTATTCATTGAGATTTAATTGAGATATTTTCCAGCCACTAGTCTCTCTGGACAGAATTGCCTGAAAGATTTCCGTAAGCAGGCGTAAAAGAAGGGGGTCTGGGGGCTGGAAAAAGAAGGGAAGGAGGAGTTGGTGGAGCTTTGCACACAAAAGTTAGAAAAGACCATATGTTTTGGAGAGCAAGAAACTATTCTACATCCACGGACTGAAGGAGTGGCAGGAGGAGAGTGGTTCATGACTTTGCCATCATTTCTTGTAACGCGTAGCTCAGCAGGCTGCCAGGAAACGGCTCCACTGAAAGGCACCGTTTAACCTCAGGCTTGTAGTGAGGCACAATGCCTTTTTCTTTGCCGTAAGAACCATGCTCAGTTACCCTGCATATGATTCTCCCCTATGTTAAAGACTACTTGCATCTTTCCACCAATGTAAAAATACCCTAAAATAATTTGAAGAACCGCAGAAAGCTTTCTCTAGGCATGCAGCCCTCTTGGAGTCAGTATTCCTAGGAAGATTCATGATGAGAATCACCTATGCCACTCTGCCCTACTTAGTCTCTAGAGGGCTGATGAAGGGCATCTTGGTCTTTCTTTTCACTGAAACTCATGTCCCTTTACCAGTTGAAGATATTGATGTAGAGTTATTTCAAGGGTCAGTTAGGAACGAAGAGGAAATAGAAGAGCAATAAGAGAAGCCCTGGGTATACAGCCTTAGCCACTGCTTCAGGGTAAGGGTTCATAGAGGTTTGGACTTCACAAGTAAAGATAGATTAGACAGAACTAATAACGTAATTTCATTTTCTTCAGTATTCAAAGTTAGATTTTCCAAGTTTGCAAGGGGATCTTAAGGAAATAAATTTTAAAAAATCATTTGAACTTCTGATCTCTCTCAGGCCTGTTTTCAAAACCTCAGCACTGATCGTGTGGTTTAGCTTTATTTCCCGAGGCGGTGAATTGTCCTGGATTTTTTTATGTAATCAATTTATTTTTGATCATAACTTGCCACTTTAGACAGAATACATGTGATGCATAAATAAGCCACTGAGCGGGTACCTTCAGTAATGTACATAAGTGTGAGGTTATTTGAGGGTAGAAGTTCTTGCTGTGTGTGCTCTAACTGTATTCTTGATGTCTGCAGTTTTGACCGTGAAAAATGCGGGGTCAAATGTTCATTGTTGAAAGAATTTAACCCAGTCCCAGATGGTGACAATTTAACTCAGTCACAAAAATTACTCAGTTAACAGCAGGAGTGGAGATACTCAGAGTGTCATTAAAAATTAGGCATTTGGCATATTGCAGTATTTATTCTCAGGCAAAAACTTAGTTAATTTAGACTTAAAATTGCAGATGTAGTCAATTTAATCTTTATTCAAATTACATGACAATGTCATTAAAGCAATTTTAAAACTGAAATGACCACTGACGGTCATGTGTACAGAGCTAATGATGGTGCCAATGTATGGAAGTGATTAAGTGAGATTTTGTATGCTTAGGGAAAGCTTTGAAACTTAACCCAGAAGACATTATTATAGACTTTTTCATAAAGGTACATGATTAATAATATATTTTACATATCAAAGGTAGATTTTTCATGCTGCTGCCAATTTCTTGCACTGGACCTACCCATGTGGCCTTCACCCTAATGCAAAACTTCCTTCATGCCTGTAATTCCCTTCATCTAGCTTCTACTTTAGGACACCTGTGGAAAGTTTCTCCGTATGTTCTGTTGGCAGCTGCTTTTGTTAAGTAATACTACTTATACAAAATAGCTATATGCACCAACAAGCTCTAAAAATATTCTAGATTATAAGGAAATTTAATTATAAGGAAACTAATTTCAGTGAATCGGAAGTAGTGATGTCTTTCTATGAATGGTAAGGCCACAGAAAATCTCAGGATAGTCTTAGATGCAACAGTGTCAAGATGCAACAGTTCGAAACTTCAGATACTCCCAAACATGTTGTTTTTGAAAAATAATTATGACTTTCTTGGGAGGGGGAAGTCGCCCTCAAATTCTGAAAGAAAATGAACGTTTGGAGTCGTCTCATGCTTTCTGGAGTTCAGGAAATGTTAAAATTAGCCAAACAATGAGGTCTGATAGAACACTTCATCCTGAAGAAAGAGTCATTCTCTCTTCACTGTTCCCTCTATTTAAAAGCTATGATTGACTTTATTAGAATGAGAACTACCCACAGGTTTAGTATCTCTTTTCCCTCTTTCTTTTCTTATAGCATTGTCTGTGACTTTTCTGCTGCAATATTCAGTGAAGCTTAGAGCAGTGGGAGATCAGTGAAAATGATCTGGGAATTAAAGGCTGAAGGGAATCCCAGAAAGGAGTATGTGCATGGTGAACTCGATAAGTGTTAGCCAGATTCAGCCTGCAAAAAGGCTGTTTGATAAAGGGAGGGAGAAGCCTGAAGGGGAATTAAAGAAGATTATTCAGTGCTGTGAAGTATCAAGACTTTGAAGACTATGTCTTCACTACGATTAACATAGACTATTATTCTTTGTCCCTGCCTTGTCTACTGACAGCTTGAGAGTTGCAGTGAAGGTAGAGTTAGATCTAACTTTGGAAATTCATTTCACTGACAGTGTTGCCACCTTCAAGGCAAAGTTGTGGCTGTGTCCTGGTTTCAGCTGGTTAATTTTCTTTTTAGTAGCTGCTGTGTTTTGGATTTAATATGAGAATAATGTCAATAACGCATATTATTTGTCATTATTTTACATTAGTCAAGGACTTTTCCAGTTTCCCCTAGAAGCTGAGAGGGAGCATAGACAGGCCAAAGGAATATTCCTTACCATAGATGTCATGCACCATTTATAGATGGGGGTTGGCTGGGGCTCCACAATCACTGCTCAGGACAGGCTGGGCAACGAATTCACCGAGTGGGATAGCATCTTGTGTTGTATTACTTTATTTTGTATTCTTTTACTGTTGATGTTATTTTTCCTATTCCATTACTTTCCTATTAAACTGTCTTTATCTGAACCTATGAGGTTTTGGGTTGGTTTTTTTCTCCCTCTTCTCCCTACCCTATCTGGGGGCAAAAGGGAGCGAGAGGAGCGAGCGAACGGCTGTGTGGATCCTAGTTGCTGGCTGGGTTTAAACCACATCGGGCTGTTGCCTCATTTCTCAAAGGGACAGGGATTTTTTATTTGCCTGGTTCATTAGGAGAGACAATTTATATGATTCATTTTGTTGAAATATTCAGAATTCTGACTTCTGCACTCAGCAGTCTAGCAACTCACCTAGTGGACTGCAAATTGGAGATACACAGTAATTTTGGTGTGGCTGGTAGCATGACTGGTCATGGCAAAGTTTCATTGACTCAAATGCCATTCATCCTGACTGCCTCTACAAAGAATTGTATCTGAAAATGGAGATATTGGTGAAAGACAGAAAGTTAGGATGGGGTATTGTGGAATTTGGGACTGTAACTCACGAAAGTCTCTACGCAAGCAGCTTAATTTTAAGACTGCTTGAATTTGTCCTTATTTGCCAAAATCTTAAGCCTGTTAAATTTTATGGAAGTGACTTCATTTGGACTTCTGAATGTGCATATGTCCCTTATTGAATTAAATTTAATTTCTAATTTGTAGAAAACTAACGAGGAGGAACTGGAAGGGATGCTAGAAGACACAAAGGGGAAACAGGGGAGTTATTGGAAATACCTCTGGTTATCACCGCTTCCTGGATGTCACTGATGCTAATCAAAACTAATCAATTAAATGTTAAAGGCTCGTTTTGAAAGACTTAGTAGGTAGTTAATGATGTGATGGGGAGTTCAGTTGGAAAAGTAAGGAGCCTTATGCTCTTTGTGATTCTTATCTGACTTAATCAAACCTTTCATTTCTGCAGAATTAATTTTTTTTAAATAAATAAAAATCTGTTTTTCTCTAAGAATCACTCAAATGGATGATTAGGTTGACCGGTACTACTTGGAGCAGCTAGTTGTCCTCTATTGTTCAAGCAAAGATTTGTTTTTACCCTTAGAGGAAGGAACACTTCAATGATATCGGTGAAGTTTAGGTATCTGTCATTTGTTACAAAACTAGTGTCAAGATTTTTAGCACGTTGAGCATTGTTATTAACAGCAGAAATAATTTTGACATTTTGTGACTCTTTCTCTGTTACTACAGTACTGGATACCAGTGTATTTACTATTCACCTGAAAACACAGCCAAGGCAAAAGAAGTTCTCAGCAACATCAATCACCTACAACCTCTCATATCAAGCCATGCAGACCTGCTGCTTAATTCTGCAAGCCAGCATTCTCCAGACAGCCTGAAGAACTCTTTAAAGATGCTTTCAGAAAAAGTAAGATTGAAATCTTCACAGCAATGGAAAATGCAATAACCAAGTCTCTAACTGCTGGGGGTTTTTCTGCATAAATTTACTTTCATAGCATTAGGAAATGTTAAATAAGCTCTGCTAAAATAAGCTTCAAAATGCTGCTATCAGAAAAAGAATATTATTTAGCATTTCTGTAGGCCTTCCGTGTAGAAAATTAATGAAATCTATAAAGGTTGTCTTTATTTGAAAGTATAATTAATTTAATTTCATGTGTCTTTGTTATCCTCTAGTGGCCCCATACTGGGGTTTATCAAAAATAGATTATTGTAAATAATTTTGTGGGAAGATAAATGGTTACTTTATTTCTTTTTCTGTGATACTTCTAACTACTGCTTGTGGGAGGCAGTTCAAGCCAGGTTTGTGCGTAAGGTTTAGAATAATAGTGTGATCAGAAATGGTGATGCAGTCTGGAAGGATGAGCTAGGGAGTTGGCACCAGGAGGTCCCAAATTTTAATCCTCTTTCTCCTGTTATATTCTTTAGTAGCTGTAGGCTCTTCTTCATCTTAGTTTCTTTGGCTCTAAATTAAGGAAGATAATATTTTCCACCTGTCTCACAGAGTGATATTGGAGATTAGCTGGAGTCTGAAGTACTTTTAAGCATGTGTTATCCTATAAAAATATTAAACACTATAGCTATGACCAGAGGGGTTGAAAAAAGTTTCCCATCGTTTCATGGGCCATACCTTCTGTAACATGATCTCAGTGTGGCTTAATAACACTATCAATAACCATTTCCATATATCTTCAGCTATTGGGAAGTGGCAACCCCTGTGGTCTGTTGAGCACTATTATCCCAGCAGTACATCGATCAATGGGAGAGCTTCAAATCTGAATATTGAGCTCAGCCACATACTGTGAAGGCATTGCATTGGAGACAAACGTTGCTCTGGGTTACAGATGTGTAAATCCACAGTAACTCTGAGAACCTTGGAGTCACTATGAATGTCAGGGAACATGTAGGGAAGTAGAATTCAGCCTGGAAATGAAAAGGAGGAATTTGAGGAGGGGGGTAAGGGAGAGCTGGCAATTATAGCATACCTTTCCATGTAGTACTGAAGGAGGCCATTTTTAGCTGCACATGCAAAAGGTGGAGCTGCTCTGTTAGTGGTTATTTCAAAGAAATCTGTGTGCATAAGTAAAGCAAATCAAACTAAGAAGTGTTTGCTCTGAAGCCTCAGTTGCTAAGGAATTGGAATGTTAGCTGTAGCCACTTGCCCTTACCACCTTTGCCTGTCTGGGCAGGAGGAGTGGATGATTTCAGAGTGGCTGCAGGCAACTGTGATACTAACCCACTGTTTGAACCATGGCCCATCAGAGAGCCTGACTACAGAAAAGGACCAAAAAAGACAATCCATTCAGTTCAGAATTCATAGCTGGTGATTTAGTTCTGTATGTTCATATCAGCTTTTCAGGGCCAGGATTAAGTTGCTGGTCAGTATATGAGCACAGGTTCTCAGAGGTGAGAGTAGGAGTCTCACCTGACATCGTCCACCTGGCAGCCCATAGCCCTCTATCTAGCCTCCACCTCTTGCTTGGAAAAGATGAATCCAGTTGTCTGAACAACTGCTGCATGAACAGTTGAATACCTGTTTCACTGTCTATTTGTAAACTTACTCTGAGGAGAAGGAGATAATTGAGAAAAGAGCATGGGACCATTGCTGAGGAAGGTAGCATAGAGCAACATTTGCTTCTAAAGAAGGGAAGAGAATTGAGGAAAGGAAAGACCAAGAAACAACTTCAGGGAAGGGTAATACTAACTTTCAAAAAACCAAACTGAGTGAACCCACACAGTGCTGCAATTAAATTCCTCGTGGTCAGTACAAATCACCGTCTTGATAACCTAAGAAAACCTATCCATACAATCTAGTACAGTATGGAAGAACCAGGGCTAACAGAGTGTCCCTGGTTGGCAGGCTCTTCTGGATAGATTTACGTGTTGCCTACCTGTATTTTTGAGACGTATGAGGTGCTTCTGCTCTAACACCTTTTGTATATTTTTTTAATATGTAAAAAAGAAATGTTCTCTTACATTCTAACTTGATAGAAATTTATAAAATAAACAGCTGTTTGAAGAAGTTGTAAAAATTATTTGCCCAATGATTAAATTCCTCAAGTTTATTAAAAAGCACATAACTTTTTATTTTAAGATAATGTTAAGCTTGATATATAGAATAATTCTTTCTAAAAACATTAGGTAGCAACGAGTATACCTGAGCTATCAATAATGTGAATTACAGTTAAGTATTTTGGTTAGAAATGGAAGGACTGGCTGCATGCATTGAAAGTGGAAAATTAAATCAAATAATTCCACTGCTGCTTCTTAAGTTGAGCTTATTTTCTCATATTAATCATGGTTTTACTTCTCCATATATGATTTGCAATTTCCTGTACTGTTTTCCTGGGCCTAACCTTTTATCAACACTTTCTGTTAATTGATTAAGGAAGCCTTTAGCTGTCGACAAGTGTATCAGCATATGCAGCTTGCAGAAGGCTTGATAAATTCATTTTCCAGCTATGCCTATCTTTGTTTGCAGAAATATTCTTTAGTCAAGTATCTAAAAGAATTTGCAAAGTTTTCATTTCTTTGTATAGACTTGTGATTTCAATACCATTTTATAAATAGTGATGTTCTGCAAATTAAGCTGTACTGAGCTGTAAGAAAATGTAGTTAAAATGTAGATTGTTGTTAAACCAATGGAATCCTTGAATGGAATTTAATTACAGAAGCATTTGAGTCTCTATGTGAAAAAATGGAGGTTTGCTTCCTATGCCAGTTTGCTTTTTAAAATGATTTTTCCCTATAAAATATTTATATTAAATTACTTAAACTTTTCAGATAGTTACCTAATATACATTGCAGTCATAGTGGGCATTCCTTACAAATTGTCCAATGCTAACAATTTTCTGAAATTTAAAGCTTTTTTGAGTCTACCATGCCTGATGCAGAGACCCAAGATAATCTCAAGCAGACTTTGAGGGTGATGGGAGCTACAAAACTTCAGCAAAACCTTGATGCTGTCATTTCTAAGGAGACACAAGTCGTTTGGCCTCTCTTGATATGAAACTGTAGAAGGGTCTTGAAGAGGAGCTCTGCTGTTACCATGCAAGAAAAGATAACTCCACAAGTCTTGCTTCACCTCTTCTTTATAGATGATTGGTGGGGTTTGCTAGCAGTGTTCCCCAAAGACTGGGTGTTCTCTGGGTATGCACTGTGTGGAGGCTGAAAACAGTAGAAAACTGAAATTGTCCTATAGTGCAGTTCAGGACTACCATGAGGCAGTCCTGAAGGGCTACATAATATAAGAAAACTCTCTCTGTTTAAGCACCCTTTCCCTCAGGCACCAAGTTAGTAAGGAGGAAACAAAATAGATCTGGTAAAATTGCCAGGGAGATGAATCATGTTGCTAAGCCTAATCATTAAAGAATCCCAAATCAGGTCTGAAAGAAGTCCTGATGTTGGTTTAACTAAGTTGATGTAGCTTAGTTTAGATATCCCTAGTGTTCTTGGTTTTGAGTTTTATTTGCAGCAAATTTTCAGCCTTTCTATGTGCAACCATTAAGGATCAAAAATAGCTTTTTCCTAAATGTAGCTGTTTCCTAAACATTATGAAAATGGTAAAAAGCAGCAACTTCTCAAGCAGGTTCCTAACCCAGCAACTGGAGCTTTAAGAAAGCCATCGGTCAGAGCATTGTGGTCTAAATGTCAGTCAACTTCTGAGGGGGTGTTGAGGCAGGAAAGGAAGAAAAATGAGTTGAGTAGAAGTTGAGGCATCCAAAAGGAGAGGACACACTAGCAAAAAGGGATGGAATAAGAATAAAAGTAAGAAGAGCAGAAACTGGGAGAAAGATTTTTGGGAATATAGATGCTGATACTTAAAACTCGATTGGTTTGGGCTTTTTTGCTACTTCTCCAGGTTTTGCATAAGAAGCATGAAGTGGCTGAATGAAGCTTAGCTGGTCAACCTTTATTTCTAGCATTTCCTGGCTTTGTGTCGTTGCGTGTTTAGGCTGGTTGCTCTGACTCATCTACGTACTTTTCCGCATGCCTGTTTAATTAAGATTTGAGTGCACAAAGGCAGTTCAGCATCTGAATCTGCACGTGATAATCCACTATGTTCTGAGGAAACAGGAAGGCAAATAAATCCCACTGACCTGGGGTAAATAAATTCAGGTCATCGTGCTGTGAGAGAAATGTGGAACAGTGTTTCAGCTTCACCTGCGAACTGGGTCCTCTGACCTAGGGAGAGGAGCTCTGGCAGCCTGGGTGGGATGTGCTGGATGTGGGGTGGTGGCAGGGTGTGTGCTCTCCCCACTCTCACAGATGAACACTGTGGGATGTCCTGTGTGGCTGCAGGAGATGGGCATGCGTGGCAGTCTGGTGGCAACAGGAAGTGCTGTTGCATGTTACAGGGCCTTGAGATGCTGAAGAACCAGACATGGAAAGCATTTTCCTCCTCTTGTTGGGGTGGAAAGGAAGATAAATAATGTAGGGAGGTTGGACGTTTTTAAAAACATGGTAAACTTCTAGCTGTCACAGTCAACAAGAAGGATTTAGAAAAATGATGTAGTGATTCAATAACATCTTCAGAGAGCCTGGAAAAACTACTTCAAGGTTTCCTTCCTGTAAAAAATAAATAAAATAAAGCTAGAAATCAGGTGTCATCACCTCCCCTGATGTCTGGCCTCATACCTACACATACCAAAATTTATCTCTGGAAGCACTGCTTTTGCAGATACTGCAATCTCAGCAGTGTAGAGTGGTGTGTTTTTATTTAAGAAGATCCTTAAATTTGTTAATTGTGTTATATCTGACACTTACTTGGAGATTGAGTGGTTCTTGTAGAGGCTTGTCTCTGCGGGCAAAATTTGAAAATCTTGAATAAAATAGAATTGTGTGAAAAGATGATAATCTCAATGACAGATGCTGTGCTTTTGTGTTAATTCTTAGAACAATGGGGTTGTAGAACGTGATGATGTCCCAAAACCCCTTGAATTTTCCTCATTGTTTGTTGGTCTACTTTGTTTTCTGCCTCTCAGGCCAGCCTGAAACAAGTATCTACTCTGTTTAAGGATAATTCAGTGTTATAATAGCGATGTTGCAGTATTGCATTCTTTGGTCTAATCTTTTCATTTTTTTATTTTTTTTTTTCTAGACAGAGTTATTTGTGCATGCATTTAAGGATCAGCTGGTCAGAAGTGCCCTTTTAGCACTATACACAGCCCGGCCTGGCTGTGTCCTCAAGAAACCAGCTGTGCCTAGAAACAGTGCAGAAGAGGGAGATGATGTACAGCATCAGGACCATCCTTCTCAGATTAAAAGACAGGACTCTATACCCCATCATTCTGAGTATGATGAGGAAGAGTGGGTAAGTAGTCAGAAATTCTTGGTCTCTATTCCTAAACCCTACAAATCAGCATAAACATATACAAGCCCTGAGTGTCTGTTTTATTGCTGGGGGGGTGGGAGGAAGAGAGGGGGAAGAAGTGCAAAACTATGAAATAATATTTTTCAGATGCATTGTGTATTTTGAAACTAACTTGAAGGAATTTTCTGAAGTCTAGTGGGCTTCTCTGTGACTGCTTGGTTGTGCATATAGCAGTGAGGATGATGAATATCTGCTTGCCCAGATGGGAAAACAGTCTTTCTTTGCTCTTGCTTGAGTTCTTTTTGCTAGTTGGGCAGATGTAAGGAGACTGGAATCTAATACACTACTATGAGAAAAGTTTTTTGGGTTGTTTTGTGGTTGTTTTTTTTTTCCCCAGGACTGAATATAAATAGTTTAAATACACATGAATTAATCCTCAGGAAAACAGAGCTCTTTTCCCTTAGACTCTGTTTTTAGAGGATGTCTGAGATTGCATAAAAGAATGAAACATGGCTTTGAGATTTTAACATTCTTAGCATATCTTTCAAAAATTTGTATTATTTATATGGCTGAGATTTTGTACATTAATTATTTTGGTGGATGTGCTCATAATAGATCTGTTTCTTTGTTATATGCACCCTGAACTTAAGCTATTTTTATTCAGTTCAGGCTCATACTTTCAGTTCATTACTGTATTCTAATAAACATAAAGGATGCCAGCATATTAATCTCTATTGTAAATAATTAATAACTTGTGTGAGCCACAGTACTTACACCTGAACTGTGATCTTTATCCATACCACAAATAAGGGAAGAAAAATGTATTTATTATACAGAAATGACAATTATCTCCAACCCCATGCATTAAGTAGTCATGAGATTTAAACAATAAATAAATAACTCATTCTTTTATTTGTGTTCTGGGTTTAGAACCTTGAATTCACTTTTTCATGTTTTCTCAACAACCTGAGGGGCTAGAATGTTTCTTCTTGCCTTGAAACAAAAGCCAGAATGTTTGTTTCCAGCTGTTGAAACATTCAGAAAAATAAATATCACAATAGATTTGTTGAAATGGAGAAATTTTGTATTGGAGAAATAAAATTGTTGTGCAAGCTGTGTTTTAATTTAGTACTTCTGTCTCTGCAGAGAGGCTAGCTTTACTGTATTTCATTATTGAATATTTAAAAGAATTATTTCTGCCAGGTGTTTAGTCCTCATCTATTAAAACTTATAAGCACATTAGTTTAAAGTGTGTCTAATTTTTTCTGCTGAATTAGTAAGATTACCTGCTTGATAAAAATTAAGTGTATCTTTGAGTATTTTGTGAGGTTAAACTGAGTCAGTCACTATCAATCTTGAGGTGGTATCAATCTTAGTGAAATTTTGGGTTTTTTGAAGTTTGAAAGATTAGTCTTCCATTATTTTCAGTTCTTTCTGTCAATGGTGGGAATGAATAGTGCAAGCTTTAATGATCAAATTTTCATTACCGTGATGAAAAGAGAAAGAATAAACACATGTAAAATTTGAAAAAATGCTTAGTCTGCTATGGAAGTCAACTATAAAGGAGAAAAACTTCGTGATGCATTGCTTTATATGCAGTCCTATATCCTCCTTTGTTGATCCCCTTCCTCCATCATCAAGCACCGGATTGCATTTTACAGTTGGAATTTCCGTTTAACTTTTGCCTGAAATCTAAACCAGTGGCACTCAAAAACTCTTTAAGCGGACTCTGTTCCATCCTATTCTAATGACTGCATTATAGAATCGTAGAATGATTCGGGTTCAAAGCAACCATAAAAATCGAGTTCCAACCCCCCTGCCCTGAGCAGGGACACCTCCCACTGGACCACAATGCTCAAAGCCCCATCCAGCCTGGCCTTGAACCCCTCCAGGGATGGGGCAGCCACAGCTTCTCTGGACAACCTGTTCCAGTGTCTCACCACCCTCGCGTCAAGAATTTCTTCCTGATATCTCATCTAAATTTCCCCTCTTTCAGTTTAAAACCATTATGCCTTGTCCTATCTCTCCACTCCCTGATGCAGTGTCCCTCCCCATCTCTACAGTAGGCACCCTTTAGATACTGGGCTCTAAAGTCTGCTTGGAGCCTTCTCTTCTCCAGAATGAACAACCCCAACTCTCTCAGCCTGTTGGGGCTATCTTACCACCATCACGGGAGTGAATTCAAGACAAAAGTAGCTGAGATCCACCCTCTTCCCTAGCATCCATATTTATCTTTAAGGAATAACTCCCTAGTTCTTAACTGCGCAGAGTGCCCTTTCGATGAGTGAGCAGTGTTTTCCAAAAAGCCACCTTCTCAATAGCAATACTGTGTTGCACCTCTCTTCTTTGATACCAAGTACAAATATTCTGACAGCCGTATGGATTGAGCTATTTATATTGGTGCACTGCACGTAGGCAGTAGGCATTACTATTGAAGGAAAAATATTTAACTGGAGAGTTTTAGAGTGCCTCTGGGTAGACATTCTCTTCTCCACTTGCCAGCTGCTTCTGCTATCCTAGAACCTCCCTGCAGGAGGGAACAAAGCGTGTTGTCATGTATAATACAAGAAAAGGTGGGCCCATTGCCACTTGGATCTGTTTCTGCTCTACATTTCTGACTGACTGCTTAATGTGGTTGGAGCTACAAAGAACGGATAAAATGGCATTTCCAATAAGCTATGTGCAAATCCGTATATGGTACTCACAGGTCTGAAATACCTGTGTATGATATATTCCATTCCAAAGCATTGTCACATCCCAAAAGGGTGTTAATCACGGACATTACTTAAGATATTTGCTTTATCTATAAGCATACCTCAAAAGGAACTTAAGGTAATAAGGCTATCAACCCTCATGAAGGAGACACCGTATCTTCAGAGCAGTGCTTAGGAGGAAGACGTCCAGTCAGGTGCAATGACAAGACAATAGTTTCCACACCTCCTCTCAGAAATGGGGGAGTTGGATTGCCTTCTAATGATACTTTCAGAGCGGATGGAAATGAATTAAATTTTTTGAATTGGGTGGATAAAAAAATAATTATTTTACAGGTTCATTTTTAAGCGTCCTAAGGAAAGTGCCCACCTATATGTGAAGCCAAGGCCTACCTTTTCAGGAAGGCCATTGCAAGTTTGAATGCCACAGCAGAGGTGGCAAGAGAAGTGCAACTATGGCTATTTCTAGCTAGCAGCACCTAGCCACACATGCTGGGACTCCTTAATGTCCCAAGTGGCTTCTGAAATTTGGAAGAAGTACATGATGTCAGTGTGCTGTTGCCTTGTCCTAGTCTGCCTTGTCCCAATGGGGTCAAGCCCCATTACAGATTTCCACTTTCCCTGTCATTGGGACTTGACTTTTGAGCTTAACGAAGCAGCAATGAAAGGGAACCAGAGACCTTGTTTCACTTGTTCTTTCATACCACAGTAGTAAACTTACCATCAAATCAGCTCCACAACAACCAGAGGGAAAACTGATAACAGAGGAGAAGCATCCTGGTTAGGAATTTAGGGCCTTAGTACTTCAGTGTGTCAAGAATTAAGACTTATTTTCTTCTGATCCCTCACTTCAGACAGAGGATTTATAAGAATGCTGACTTGAGAGGCTGTGGGTGTATTTTCTCCTTTAACCTGGCACATGCTGCAAAATGATCACTCGTGAGGCAGTTCTTAGGCAAATTGAAAATAGACCACTTAAGAAGGGGAAAGGTGGATGGGAAGTGTGCTAGGCTACAGGAAAATGTTATGGGAATAGCAAGATATGACAAAGAATGTGAAATGGCGGGATTTCTTCTCACAGAGAGTAACAGGGAGTCACTTGGTTTGCTTTGATTGGAAACTGCATTTTTACTCAAGAATTGTTCTTACCAAACTGCAGAATTTCAGCAGCCCTCTTGGAAAAATATGCGCATCTTTGGTGCAGATAGAATAAAATCCCAACGAACAACAGACACAACTACTTTTTCTCTCTGCCTATAACGATAGCTTCTAATCCCAGGATTCTCCCATGTGGAGAAAAAGAGGTGTGGAACAGGCCCTTGCTCCCTCCCACTTGCCCATCTGTAAAAAAGCCAGATATATGATAATTACAGTGAGCTTTCTGTCAGCAGATGTTGATGAATTTTGCTTCTAAACCCTCAGGGAATGTTTGTGTGAATATTGTATAGACACCATCTCAATGCTGGGTTAATAGTCGGTTTGAAAAGAGAAAAGTATTCTTTCCAAAATGAAACAAGGGCTCATATTTGTGTTGCTTGTGCAATAACTCCAGATGCTCATTAAGAGTTTAACGTTCTTTGTGTTGGGATTAAACTCCCTCAACGGAGGGAAGGAGGGAAATGAGGTTGCTGCAGCCATGCAGAGCAACCTGAGTTCATCTACCTCAGCATCTTCAGTGACTAGAAAGGCTGAAGTTCCCTGCTACTCTCTGGTAAAACTAGAAGTTTTACTATTTGCCTTGTTTCATTCTACTTCACAGAATCCTTCTCCCAAAAATAGTAATTGTGGGTGGTGGAAATCAGTCATTTCACCAATATTCTAAATATTTTTTCAGGAACGCTTGAGGTACTTACAGGATGAAACTTTTGAAGGAATCTATACCTGTCCTTTGTCTTTAGCTTTAAATTGTATCTTTGTGTATGAATATCATGCATAGTCGTGTGTTTAATGGTTTGTTTCAGCAAGTAAATGCTTCTGTGTGCAGACCCATGTCGTGTCCCTCAGGGCAGGGTGCCCACTTGTCACAGGGTGTGCCCTGAGGTGGAGGGAACCCGGAAGTATCTCGTCCCGCTAGTCAGGAAAACGGCCTAAGAAGTGTGGCCTGTGTGAATAAAAATAAATCTTAGATTCAATGATTGCCTTAGTAGTAGTTCTAACTTTGCCTTCACCCAGCTTCCAAATGTTACCATTTATATGGAACTAAGGTATTTCTCTGAGTTTTCAGTTTTCTTTAACCTTCTCTCTTGTTGTCTCTTGCAAATCCATTTTAGGCCTCAAGGCCTGACAGAGCATAATGCTTCTGGCTAGCATACCATAAAGTTGAAAGAAGACCAGTGATACTATCTTCTCATTTTTTAACCCTCAAGCCCGGCATTAGTTTCAGAATGACTCGGCATTAAAACATCTACTTGGGCTTTTTTGTGGGTTTGTTACATTTTTTATTTTTTTTTCCTGGTTGCTGGCATTGTGTACAGCCTCATTTCTTGTATGGCGTGTTTTTTTTTCCTTTTTTTTTTAATTCGGCCCCACAAAAGTAGGTGCAAGAGCTTTAGTGTCTGCAGCATCCAGCACCTGAAGGACTTTATTGTATCAGAGTAACTGATGTGATATGGGAGGGTATGTTCAATTATCAAAAAGAGGTCAGGTACTGTGGCAAAACTGACAGTTGCACACGAGATTTAATTTGGCAAGGCTTTGAATGTCTACCCTTTATGGTATTATTTCAAATAGACCACTTCTCAGTTCCTTGTGATTGGACTTGAAACTTTGCATGCATTTTGATGTAAAGTTTGAAGCACGTGTGTTTCCCACTGTCTGAAAAACCCAAACAGTTTTAAGTTCAGTCATTTACTCTGCAGGCTTAAGTTGGCAGTAGGCTGAAGAATGAGAAAAATGGTAATATGCTGCCACCTTATATTTCTTCTAATATTTCTAGTAATTTGCACATCTCTGTCTCCATTTTAAGGTGTTAACAAGAAGTTAGTATTATCTCTTTTGTTTTCTTCTTCAGTAATGTGCAGTGATGATTATACTCTTTTCAGGACAGAGTGTGGGCCAATGTGGGAAAGAGTTTAAACTGCGTTATCGCCATGGTGGACAGACTGCTTGAAAAAGACAACATCAGCAGCAGTAAAGAGGGTGAAAATGACCCTTCAGCAGCAGATTGCAAGGTGTTGCATGCAGGCGGTAAGGAACCTTTTTTCTTTAGTCATTGACTAGAGTAAATAAAAAATGGAAAAAGTCACAAAAAAATGATATATAGAAGAGTCAATAGTATCTTTGATGAGAGTGCTGATAGCAAGGTTTTGTACAGTTGTAGCCTTGAATGATGGAAGGCTATTTATCAAATTACAGCTCCACTGTGTGCTCAAATGGCTTGCCATGCTCATTTTTTGTGCTACAATGAAAACCTTTTGAAACCACATTTTCCTTTGAAGGCTGATGTAGTTTCATTTATTTTAGATTTTACTTGAATATAACATTTTGAGAGAAAACATTGGAGTCTGTCTTACAACTTGTAAGGAAAGGTGAACATTCAGTTTGTGTCGTTCTTTTCCCCTTTTCTGAAGTTACATACTCATATTTTTTTCTGATATGCTAAAATTCATTTTTTCCTGCATACAGTTGTCAATTTGTGTCGATATTGAAGGCTAGAGTGATTCTATGAGATGATAAAACAAAAACTTTCTCCAGAGCAAGACCATGTCACCAAATCTTCTGATCTTCTCCTATGGTTACATTCCTTGTAGCTTTCTCTGAGAATAGATTAGATCTTCTTCATAAGTCTGACAGGACTTTCTGACGTGCAAGTGTGTTGTGACAAATGAAACAGATCCTTAGTGATATAATGGTGGTAGTCCAAATATAAGGAAATCAGAACCTAACGTTCTGCCACTCTTCAGTTAAAAAAACAACCACTCCATCCCACCCCAAACAACAAAAACCCCACAACCATGTTTGTTTTATGGAGTTTTGTATAATTTTGGCTTTTTTTTTTTTAAAATTGTGTATTTTATTCTCTGGTTTCCTTTACAGATTCTATTCTTTGTATAATTTTGGCTTTTTTTTTTTTTTTTAAATTGTGTATTTTATTCTCTGGTTTCCTTTACAGATTCTATTTCTCCCCTCAGATTTTAATGATGTAATTTCATATCAAGAGTTCTAAAGATATTAGAACTCATTTGTCCTTTCTTACATAACAAGAATTAAAACTGTTTTTTTTTCAACTGTATATCATTTGTTGTAGTACTGGTGAGTTTCGTGCAACAGATTGTGGTTGTACTATTGATTTTTAATGCAGCTGCAACCTTGGTATTTTTACCAGTATGAGAGATTTGTGCTGGCATCCTGGAATTCTTGCTTCCAGTGCCCCGTGCGTTGGACTTGGTTTTGTATGAATAATCCAGAGCCCAAAGTATTTCTTATCTATTTGCTTCTCTGAGTTTCTGTCTACCAGGCATATACCCCTATAATGTCAGAGAGCTAGATGATACCATCTTTGTTCTCTGGTGAAGGCTTGCAGGTGCAAAGTATCAACACAGTTAGCTTTCAACATTTTTCAGACCTTTTTCAGATGCTAGAAATACTCAAGAATAAGATAGGTGTAGTTGAAAACTTGAAAGAATGTTTAGAAAGTGAACTCAAGCATACAAATTTGGATTAAAAGAACGTAATTGTATATTTGTTCTTGTGCATAACTCCCTTTTCTCTGGTACTAATAAGTTTTTCTGTTATTGTTAGCAGAAATCCACTATGTCTCTTAGAAATGTTTTGCAGGTAAAGTAGTAGTACGCTTTCACCCAAACTTTCCCCAAGTTACTGCAGTGCATTTCTATGTTAAACATAGATACTCATCTACTGGTTTTTATCTGTATTCCATAATTACGGAACAAAACTTCAGCTTTTCCCCTCCCTCCCCAGTCTGAAAAAAAAGTCATGATTTAGGATAATTCTTTTTGGATGCTTTCTGACATGCTTAGCAGCGTGAATGTTTACAGATTTTTTCCTTCACTCTCTTCAACCTCCTGACCTCTGTTATTCTGTATAACAGGTGAAATATGAAACACATTTAACCAGTCCATTTGAGTCTTTCATTGTAGTGATGAAAAAATGTGCTGTTACCTTTGATTCAGGCTCATACCCTACACAGGCAAATGAAATACTGGTTAGAGCTTTTAGCTCACAAGGCCAAAAAACCTTAAAAGTTACTTCAAGTACTATAATAAACAGTCATCAAATAGAATGAAAGGTACCTCTTGCTAAGCAATAATGATAATTGTAATGGTTAGAAAATTATAGATACATTTCATTAAGCTGAGGAGTTGTCTTCTGGAGCTGACAGGCCAAGGACACAAAAAATATCAAAATGTTATGCCATTGGAAGAAATTATTCTCTCTTTCCATCATTTCAGGGTGTTCCCTATTTCTCTTGAATCAGTACTAGTGCCCTTCTATGAGAGCAGAGTCAGTGCTTCTGCTGAGTTCTGCTGAGTGTTCTGCAACACCCCATCACATGGAAACTGCAGATTTGTGGGGCAGATGGCTTTGTTTTCATGTTCTACTTTTTGAGGAAGATATAATTTCTTAATGATGTTTCCATGAGAGCATCATGCAGTCCCCTTTGACAGCTTCGAGGAGTTTCAAGGTCATGCAGAAATGGAGGTGTTTTAAAATTGCTTTCTTTTATAGGACTTGCTTAAAAGATGGAGCTCTCTAAAGAACCATCCAGGTGTGTGCCAAAGTTGGTTGCCTGTTGGCTTTTCAAAATGATTGCCTTTGGGTCCAGAATTTTTCACACTTGGCTTCTACATGAGAGCGTGGTCTTATACGTTTGTTTTTTTCTGCACCTCCCTCTCCTAAGTTCGACATGAAGCCCTGAGAATGCACCGTGAAGCACCTACATAGAGGTTGGGATTCTAAGTTTAGGGTTATAGATTCTGCCTTAATTCTGCTCCATTTTGGTTTTGAAACCTGGTTGTATGGGTTCATAACTTTTTCCTAGGTACAAAATCATGCTGTGTTTACACCCATAGATATGTTTCTGAAATTACAAAATTTTACGCTATATACAATTCAAAAACATTAGGTATGTGAGAAGCTTGCCATATCTTGCAATTACCTATTATACCATAATTTGAGCATAGTATATTCCATTAAAACTACAAATGTCTGGTCACAGATAGATCTTTGAGTCTGAAACTGCTTCAGTGCTGAGGCTGATCTGAAGAAAAGTTGTGCTGCTGTTTGTAAGAAAAATAGGGAATAACCAGGACTTCGACTAAAACATTGAAAAGTATGCCTTAAAGTATGGAATAAAATGTTTCCTTATATTAGTGAACCTGACTGCTTTAATACAATATTATTTTTTTCTAGCATATAACAATGAAAAAGATGTCAAAGAATGTATATGGGGTAGAAAATGTTATGACAATAATTTGATGGGTTTGAGCAATAGCATATTCCTGTAACTATAGGTGTTGTCATAACATACTCAGAGCTTCCCAAGGTAGGTTTTTATTTGCTGTCTCAATGTTGACATCGTGTGATCTTACTCTTTTTTTCCCAACATGCTTATATTTACTGTATGGAATCTTTGTATTCAGAAATATTGGTGGCACATTTTTCTTGTACTTACCCTTCAACATGAATTATACCTTTCTTAGCCTAACTTTTTGTGCAATCTGACCTTTGAGTGTATTCTTAAGACTGAATTTGAGTTATCAGTTACCAAGGTAACATGCTATGGTTTCATCAGTTGCAGGATTATGATTACTCTACAGGATAAATCAGGAAGAGCAGATGGATTTTTAAAGGAGAGGGATTTTTTTTTTTTAATTCTTTTAACTCTAGACCAGTTTGCCTTGGAGAACTACTACTACTATATGGGTTAATTTATTTTTTTTAAATAATCTGATACCCGATGGGGACTGTATAAATCTGGATTAAACCTTTGTGTGTTTCAGTGACCTAGAGATGGACACTGTGTCCTTTCAGTGCATCCCTCCCAAAGCTGGCAGAAACGTGAAATAAAACTCTGTTCTGATTTTGTTTGCATCTTCAGAAGAAGAGCTTTTACTGTAAACTATCATTTAATCAGGAAGATGAAAAATTCTCCCTTGGTCTGTGTTCGCTTGAGTAGCAGACATCATTTATTTTGAGGAAACAAAAACACTTATGAAACTTTCTCTTCTCTCCCTTTCCCTCACATTTTTCTTTCTTCTTTTCTTAAGCTTGTCTTAGCATCAACTCTATCTCTGCACGTTTTTTTTTCCTTTCTCTCTCACTTTTGTATCATTCTTCTCTTTTTGATAGGGTCCTTAACAGGGCTATATGTAGCCAAAAAACCCAGTTTTTTAAACAAGACATCAGAATATTTAGTTGCTCAACACTTCTGTAGCAAGGTTTATCCATTACTCCTATGTTTTGAGTATATTAGATTTCCTCAACTTTGTCTGTTATTGCCATCGCTTCCACCTTCTGTTTTCATTGTGACTAAAGCTGCTGAGACACTTTTGCATACAAATGATTAGATGGTTTCCATTTTCACTATTAATTCGTGTGACAGTATAGAATATCTCAGATAATTACAACAGATTAATGAATCCCTAGGAATTCAAAATTGTTCTTCTGGACACTCAAACTATGCAAAGTTGACTGCTATTATATTAGCTGCAGAAATATGTGGAAGACTTATGCAGGGTTTTGGTGTTTCTGTGAGTAATGCTGCAGAATTATGAGCATAATCATCCTTTTTTAAAAAGCTTAGTCCTCATGCTAGACTTAAACTGAGCTCCAAGAGCTGAGGGGCAAGATGAAAAAGTAGGAGGCTGACCTTTCTATGGTGCAAAGTTGAATACGTGCACTGTCAGTTTTTAAACCTCCCTTAAATAAATTCAGAAGGATGTTCCTATCCTAAGTGAATAAATTCATTTTCTGTGGGTTAATTATTTCATGCTTTTTGCACTAGCTGTTCTTGAAGTGGTTACTACCGTTTTGAGTAGGTTGGTTTGTTTTACTTGCCTTTTTCCTTAAGACAGAGTTTCTCTAATGTTCAATTTGTGATATGAGGACAACTCATCTACATTGTTTGACCACTATTATTTCAATCCTATCATGGGTTATTTCTGTGGTCAGGTAGTAAGGGAATAAGGGAATAGCTACAGTGAAGAGTTAAGTCATGAAGTTCA